ACTACTGACCCGGCTTCTTCCACAAACTATTTACACAACACTTCCTCCTTTAAGGCCCTTGTCCTGGACTACTTTATCCGCTTTTTTAATGAGTGTTGCTAGGTTTAGCACAGCCCTAACCAACATAAACCAAACAAAAGTCAGAGTTTTTCATGTCTGAGAACACAGTATACGCCCCAAAGGCCTTAAAGTGTACGCTTACGACATTTCGGTACGCCTCTACTTAGCTTGGTATTTCATGCTCCGCCACCGTTTAGCTGTGGTGCACACATTTTGGACATCACCCATCTGTTCCGATTGTTCCAATGGTAACTGCCACTTCGGTTGTACCCTCCAGGACCTACCGTTTTCAACTGCCGTTTGGTGTCATGCTGTTCGTGCTGAGTGAGCTGCTTCACTGGTCTAGGTTTCTTCAGACTGAATAAAATATTTGGCTGCTGGAATTCTTTGTTATTGCACAAGCCGCAATTATAACTGCTTATTGACATGCCACATTGCAGATCTGCATGCAAGCTAGATCAAAACTAAGAGGGTGATCAGTGGATCCTGCAGGGAGGGTCGCCCTGTTGCGTTGCACCGTGGTGCGTTCGTATGCCCTCCGCTCCTCCAGAAGCACAGGTACCTCGCTCATAGCCAGTGGTTCTGAGCATGGAGTTTAATTCAAGAAATCCATGACAGAGCACTGATTTTTCTTTCTGTTGCCGCTGGGTTGGACTCATCCCAGGTTTTTCATTTATCTGCCAACGCTATAAAATAAAGACGGCAAAACCGGCCTTTCATTTGTTAAAATATTCTTTGAAAAACAGTTTGGATAGCTTGAATTTACTTTGCGATGCTTAGGTTGATGGTGAGCTTGTTGGTTGGATAGATATGGTAGTTACCTATGAGTAGGCTTTCCTTTACAGGTCACCGTGAAAATGCGTTCTGTCTGTCCTATAGTTTTTTGCGAACCACTTTAGTAACACTGACCAGCAGACCTCGGTCTACATATGAAGCTAGACAACTGAAACCCTGGTTGTTGTGCGATGTAGGTAATAGCATTGAATGGACTGATTCAATAAGTCGGAGAAATGCTGTCATCTTAGAATTTCTCATCCCATCGAAAGAGCCATCGAGGTTTTTTTTGGAGTGGCAGGAAAGAGTCTGTGGATACCGGGTTCAAAAGTAATACTTAGTCAAATTTGACAACTGTGCTCGTATAGTGAACAATGATCACGATAAATCGTTTTGAGAAAATGCCCAATAAGGTAGATGGGTGATATTGATCAAAGCAAAGAAAAATCGTTAAATTAGAGTGGCTTTATTCACGGTCACTGCAATTTTCCAGAGTTAAACAGGTCTTACCAAATTTAAACACGGGTGCCAGTATCAGAATCCGTTTTCAAAATCCAGGGAGGCCATTGTCCATATGCCGGTCTCCTCTGAAGGTAAACAATAACGCTTAATCATGATTTATTAATCATTTGTCCGCCCTCGTCTAATGCACCGGTTTGTTTGCGTAGCCAAAGCTCGAGTGAAACGAATCCATGTCGAATTTCACGCTCATTGTTAATTTCCTCTCAGGGCAACAGTTCTGTAGCACTGTGACATTTAGAGGCACCGATTTGACTGGGACTCATGATACGGCTTTAGGCCTTGTCTAGATTTCCACGGACGGGGCTTCGCCGTATCGTGTTTAAAGGTGTTAAACAAAACCGCAGCAAAGATTTTTGACACCGGGAGAGAGAGGGTCATGGCATTTCCGTCCAGAGTGTTTGTCGTTTTTGCACGAAAGGAACTACTAGGTGTAGATGCAGCTCATGTGGTAGCAATATCTCCCTTGAAAAACCTTTACTTGATGGAAAACTGTTCGGATTTTTGGCTGAATTTTTGCTGAAGAAACTGATAGTAACTAATACAACGGAGGTTCCAAGATGGTATCGTATGCTAAGTCGACAGTAAAATCTGACGTGGTACCGATAATTCGGTGCACATTTAGAACCTATAAGTTATTCTAGTTAAAAGGACAAAAAACTAAGGACAGGCTTAATGACTGGCGTAGTTTGTTGTGACAATTGGTATACATACTGGAGACTGATTAGCCCATATTTGTGGGACAAAATACATCCAAAACTTCCCAACAGTCCTGTCGTGTTATGGTTATGAAATAACAAGTTTGCCTCAGACATCTGCATGTCCTATTCTCAATTTAAGCGTGCTTGTAAAGCTAATTGAATTTCTGATTTGCTGATAGGTTTTTCAGTTTATTTTTTGTACAATACAGAACAAACTTGCAGACCAAACAGGATAAACTGACCAATCACTGGAGCGTGTGCCAAAGTAGCATTCTGACAGACTGCTGTGATTTCCAGTGGTGACCAGATCAATGAGCAGTGTTCTTTGCTATTTCCTTTGATGTAGGGCCATTCATAGAGGACAAAATGGGACAAAATCGGGCCACGAATGGGGCTGGCTACTCTAGAAATGACCTAATGGAAGCAGGCTACTAGTTTTCATCTGAGATTTGTGTTCACCAGAGATTCCATGCCTTCACGTTGGCATAAAACCACTCCGTTTCAACTGTTCTTGGTCGTCCAAAGCAACATTTCTAAAAACTGAGTTATAGCTCGTGGATGGAAGCACAGAACGTAATACGGTATAGATTTACTTGATGCGTAATTTTTCCAATCAAATTAGTACTATAGTAAATAACTGCCAAGGCTGTAGAAGAGTCCACAGGATGTGAAGCGTATGGCTGACAAGCCGGTAGAGCTGTATTATTTTCTTGACCCACTGAATAGACCAAGTAGTCCATTTTTATCACGGCCACAATTAAGGTGTAATAATTTCTCTGGTTTGGACCACAAATTTTTGATTCTTTATTGCTTTCTCTGACTCCGTAGAATGAACTTTGGAATACTTGGAGTAATTCAAGCAAACTCGTTTGGATTCAAAGTGCACACGATATGCATTCCGATCAGATGCGATCCCTATACGTTTACTCACACTGTCCCACTGATTTTCACGTATGACCCCCGGAAAACTCACAACACTAAGCTCATTTCAAGTGTTATAACAACGGGTGTTTGTGGCTGGAATTCTCTTGATTACTTGATAACCTTGATTTCACCCTTATTTCAGTTGGCGGTGAGATTAAATCGGGGAGTAGCCTGGTTGTGGAAGATACCTTTCTACATCTCTTGGGAAGTCGACTCAACAAGACGGGTTATCACATTATTCAAGACTAAGGTTTCTCGCTACAGAACTGTCGATTTTCCACACTGTTAATCCGCTAATTCATTTGATTGAGCCGTACCCTGACAAAGAAGCTGGGAAAAGGGCCAGTATAGCCTCAGATTCTGAACAAGGAAGTAAATGTATGTCCATACATATACAGATAGGAAGATGATCTCGCTACAGTCGATTTTCCACACTGTTAATCCGCTAATTCATTTGATTGAGCCGTACCCTGACAAAGAAGCTGGGAAAAGGGCCAGTACAGTATCAGATTCTGAACAAGGAAGTAAATGTATGTCCATACATATACAGATAGGAAGATGAAAGGCGAAATTTCATAGTCCGTAACGAAAGGACGAATTTTTGCCATACACAACAAATCCCGGCATTTCCATAAAAAGCTGTTGCTTCCACTCTACTTTTCCCCTAATATGCCACTGCCGTGGACATCTTGGGTTTTCCATTATGCTGGATATATTCTGGTTTGTTGGTTTGCTCACCGAGCTTTTCAGCTAGATTGCGAACGCTTCGTTACCAGTCAAGGAGACAAAGTCTGACTGTGTCAACAGCCCCTCACTGATGGTGTATTCTTGACTGCACTCTAGCTGACAAGTTAGGCTAACTGACCATCGACCAAGTAACGCACCCAAGCTACTCATATCCAACGAAATAGCCAGGTTTGATACTCGCGAGGCTCACAGGATCCTTCACTGAAGGATCTCAGGAACGTACATTATTAGTCAGTAGCCTAGGTTTTTAGGAAGTGGGAATTTCCCTCTTTGAGCAGTTCAGTGACCGTCACAATAGTCTTTCGGTTTGAAATGTGAGTCTATGTTGAATCCACTAGGGTAAGCGCGTTGAACTAACGTGACTGGTCCTGATAAGTTTAACCAGGGGCATTTTATAATCTCAGGACTAAGGTATCCTAGATGTCCTTATCTTGGACGAATAATTTGGGATAGCTTGATACATGTGAATTGTAAATGGACTTGCTCGCCTAATATTCTATTACTGCGACCACTCGAGAAGAAACTATACCCCTTATTTCGTTCCTAACATCAGACCTTTGGATGAAATATGGTAACATCCGATAAAATTGATGGATATGAGGTGCGGTGGTTCTTGCTGTCATTTACTTCAATATTCTGTTAAATTCCAGGCTTCCGAATGAGTCTACAGTAGCCCAGACTTTCTTTAGGCTGTGCTTACTTACCTGGTGCAGTACACCGGCAATAGCACTTCTAGTCTGATCTAACGGCTCTTAGGAGAATGAAATTCATACTAAATAATATATTTCGCGTGTCCATTCTCTGGAATCAGGTTTCCAATGCGTTACTCAACTTTTGCCGCCATCCATGATTCGCAAGAAGACTCAGCTTTCCGGTGTTTAATACTTCCGTTCAATTTATGGTGTGTTCATTACTGAGAAAGAGGCTTACAGTCTCCGAATTATCCACAGAATAACGCATCACGACAACTTAAACCTGATACCGGATGTGGGACTAAAAGGTTGCATAAAACGGTTTCAATCACTAGCTCACACCGGTCACAGTGACGGGTAGACGTTCAAAGTGTCCGCTGGGTAGTAATTTTGACAGATCTGAGTGGGTTTTTTGTTCGATGACGATGTAGTCGAACGACTGCACTTTGCTCCACCCAAAATGAGCGACATTCAGTGTAAACCAATCATACGCCGTTATTTTGTGCCATCAAAGTGTGATACATTCACTGATAAACTCTGCGTCCCAATTATCAAAACATGCTAATTTCTATACCCATTCGAAATGAAACAACTCCTAATATTTTTCTGGATAGCTCTATACTACATCACGACAATTACGGCCAACGGACATGCGGAACGACTGCCCAAGCGTGAGTTTGACGCGTGCGTGAAAAAATGTGGCAACCAGTTCGAAGACTGTACAAGAGAGATGCATCACCTCTGGCTGAATTTTGCGAAGAATAGGGGAACAATTATGAAAAAATTGAGCAGTTGCTGTCTGGACGGTGAGCACGATCATGACGCGCCCTCAACGTTAAGTTTTGCTACTTGTGTGAGGGAAAACTGCCGTGCAGAAATGTGGGGGTAAGTTACTTGCGAACATTGCCTCTGTCGATGCACGTGTACTGGAGTCATTGATCGACTCGTCACCTTCTAGAAACCAAACCTGGATGGTCCGAGGAAGGAATATTATGTGCACAAGTTACAGTAACTGGACAAACTTATCTGGTCAAAACGAACTGTGGTTTATTATCGTGTCTGGAGTTTGTGTGAGTGGAAATTCAGAAAATCACTTGAGCATTTAAGCTTACTTTAGAACCAGGTCGATTGTGGGAACCATGGAATACTTGAAAAAAAAGAATTCGTAGGTACACTTTGTGGAGATGTACTTTCCAATATGGATCACTAGATGGGTACATTCAAAGTGTTTTGTTCTGGAGGGGGAGAATTCCGTGCTGAATATAAGCAATCCATCCGGTAATATAAGATGACGGCTGATCAACTTATAACTAGTTCTTGAATTAGGTGTTCTGTACTTGTTTGCTTCCCAAAGTGCTTTTTGGTTATCTGTGTCAGCTTAAAACATGAATTTTGCAGAACAGGCAACCCACGTTGGATGCGACCTGTGGCAGGCAATTTCAGTTCGGTAGCGGAAAAGACTGTTTTCTACCACTATCTGCCAATAAACCTAACCTTTGGTCAGATAGTAATTGACAAGTCTGACTCTTTTATGCATAGCGGCAATGCAGTGAAGAAAACAAAGGCGTCGTTTTTGCTGTTTCAAGAATCGCTATTGGCTACGCGTTTTCTTTACAATAAATGGACATCGCAACCAGTATTATTTTGCCCTAATGTGAACAGGCACAAAAGCACTATCACTTCACAAGTTGATACGCGCTATTAACATTATTCCGAGAGCCACGGCAATTACATTTCAGTAGAACATCTTACTGGCAGGCGGAAGAAAATAGCAAGGGTTGAAGAGTAAGTGTGGTCTATCACGCTGACCAACACAAATTCGTAAAAGTGCTTAAAGTTGCTGTCGAAGCTCGTAAAGTCCAGGCTTTCTGAACCCTAGGTGCGAAGACTTCTTCCTTTCGCGGAATCTTTTGGTGTGCCACTCGAACTCCTAGAGAAGTAGAAAAAACACGCACAAGTAAACCAGTTGGAGGGCACATTCTTCTAGATGCCCAAGGAATAGACTTTTGTAGGTTTTCACTGTCTCGCGTAGTTGAGCTGGAAGGTCCTCCCAAATCCGTTCGAACCGAACCCCAGTTGTTTGGCCTTGATACCATGAACAATGGAGCCAGATAACGGATCTACAACACAAAGTTGGGACTGAGCTGAAGGCCTTACTTTCCGGCAGTAGACACTGGGAGGATGGGCTTTCTCTAGAACCCCATACTTAGCTACGACCCATTGACGGCGAATGAAGTCTTCCAAATTACCAGCTCAAAATTTACTGGATCGGGATAGATGTTTCAGTGGTTCTACGCCTTAGAATAAAGCCACTTCCTTAAAGCACTAGCGTCCGCAATTAAAGGAAGCTGAATGACCATATTTTCTTGAAAACAGTTTTTTCTGGTTCGTTTTATGTATTAAGAAATCCCGGCAACCCATCGATCACAAATGCTGAAACAAACAGCGCATTAGACCGTTTTGTATCACAATGAGGTGGGTATACTCACCAACACAGATAGTCCGTCTGTGCAGCCTTTGGTTTAGAGCTTCAAAGTTCATATACCAAATCATCAGGCTCAAAATGACAACTGGTTGTAACTGGCCGGAAAGTGTATTGACATATGTGAAGAATTATTGACAATCAAATATGAAACAAAATAAAGTAAAAATAAGATAAAATTTACTAAAAAAATAAGCAGATTGGCTTTACTTGTTGAAAAAAGTTATAAACTTCGAACAGGTCATCTATGTACACACGTTACATAGGAAAAATAAAAATCGGACGGCACGAGATCTCAAGTCTACTGTTAGCCACTAACCCAAAAGAGATCACAATACTACACTGTCCATTAGAACGAACAGGACTTTGTCCAAATAAATTGCCTCTCAAGTACTCCGCCCAAAATCTTCAGTAATTCATTCTTCAGTATCTGGCTTGATGTTGCCGTCAAATCAGAATGAGTGTATTCATCCTAATTTACTCGGTGCGTAAACGCCACTCTGAAAGACAGACGACATCAACTATGAAGCTGGCGGAATTACCGTAGCAATTTCAAAACCTGAGTTATGCAAGCAAATGCGTCTAACACCACTAGTTTAATTGCAGTATCCTTCATAATTTGGACAAAAAAAGAAATATCTGGGCTTGCTTTTTAGTAAAAGAGGTCAGGAATTTTCCTTACCCGTCACAGAGCTAGTATGTATCCTTTCTCTCTTATTATCATGTCACGGACATACTGCATCATTCATGACGTTCACACTAGCCTTGTTTTTGGCGGATACTGCTATAGACTGGGCTTCAACTCCATGCGTTTGTGTGGCTACTGCATTTTTTTTACTATGTGGATTGCTTATGACCGTGGAACTTACTTTTTTCCGGATGGATTCAGTACAAGTTGGATTTCGTTTATCCGTCCGGGGCTTTTATGAGATTAGAAAGACTTTCCCACTTCATGCTCGAAATAACTCAGTGGTTAATTCGCGAACTGACTAACTAGAAGGTTCGTGGTTCGAACCCAACCTCGGTCACCAAAAGGGGGGGGGTTCCAGCTAAACGGTCCCATCACAGTTCATCCTTTATCCAATTACGTCAGCATTGTCAATTTTGTCACCACTCTAATCCACAGTTCGAGTTACTTCCCAAGCTAATTTGAAACATAGTAACTATCGCCTTTGACCATAAACTTTTGTCCACTTTTGATTGCATTATCTAGGCATATCAACAGCTTTATTTGCTCGGGCTTCAGCATTGGACTAAGCGGTATAATTAAGGTGACTCAAATGCACCACCGTTCGGCTCAATACAAGCGCCTAATCTACTATGGGGAAATTATTCGTCATTTGCGACACCTAAAGCATGAACACGAAACCTACAACTTAGAGCACTCTGCCCTCCCATCTTTTCATCACCATTCCAACAGTTGCCACAACTCCAGCTAACGTGATCCCAGCAGTCATTTCCATCGCGGATCCGAACTCCAATCGCTCTGCCTGGATGGCACACATTTGCGATACCTTGAATTAAATTCAGGGCATCGTATGAAACATCGTATCGAACCGTTTTCGTAACGAATTTAAGTGAACTGTTTGCAGTAGGCTGTTGCAAGTTATTTCTCTGCAATTTCATGTTCCGGTGGAAAGCGCGTATGACGTTCTAGATATAAAGACGAAATGTCTACCGATTTACACACTAAACAGCTACAAAAATTCCATTCTATGAATGTCATGCAGCGACTTGTTTTACAAGCTCCATGGAGCCACATCCAGCAACACACATTTATAAATGGAGATGTCTGGAAAGATCCCCATAACTCGTGTTCGCTTACCATATTTGAAGAAACATCTCAAGCATTGATGTTACCAGCATATGTTACTCTGAACGAGTGTTTTCTGAAAACTAGAAATGCTTTCAAAATTTTCATTTCATATTGAAATTGTTTAAACTCTGGGTGATTCGATTCCTTGACAATCACGTGACGGTAGGTCAGGAGAACAATCAAGCCGGTTAACATACAAAGACTATTTTGAATGCATATCTACTTTCTGTCTCTCTAAGTCTAAATATTTTCGTTTATTCACTACCAAATGATAGGTAGATAAAGCAGTTTAACAGTTTGATATCAGTCAACATCATCCGTTTTATATGGACACTAATTCCCTTTTAAATGTTTCAGACAGTGACTGTCCTAAAGAACCGCTTATTATGACTAGTTTTTGAGCACTACCAAATTGTGTTTAACCAGACGAAGTAAAAGATCAGCATTCTGAAAACTTGCTTTCACTGACCAGTAGGGGGTGCCAAATTTTTAGTCCCTAAACTAAAATGTAACTAGAATCCTATCATAGTTCCATAACTCTCCCTTTCAGTGGTCTATCGTCAACATCCGACAAAGACTGTTGGAGAAACCAATGATATTTTTACAATCCAGTTACGACTCATTATTTCTAGTGATAGTATTCTCTGCCATTTTTGTGTTCTTTTTCCGGGATTTGCATTGAATACACTACCGACACAACTGAGAGGTTTTTTCGGTCTCCTGCGTTTACTTTGATTTGTTTAACCCAGATCTTACGTTGCCTTACTTTGATGAACGTGAATTATACCAGCCACTGAATGAGAACAAATCCGTTGAGAAATAGGGCTTATCCAACCATTTGTCAACTTCCATATTTATGTACCTAGACGTCTGCTTTGTACGCTTCAGTCTGGTGTCCCTGACTTTTTTCTTTGCTCAAAACGCAGAGATTTTCACACGAATATTTACTTTCTTCCTGCTACTCCTGCGTTTTACTTGAGGCGCCATTTATCAAAGTTTCGTCAAGTTGCACAAATATCCCTAATGCTTTTGGACATAACGGTGCATACTACTGACGAAACATGCTAATAGTGTCTGGTCCGGTGTACAGCCTGTGTCCCCGCATCTGATGGAAAGTGAATGTTGGTATGAAAATAATGGTACTTCTTTGCAGTGTTTGTTCCTTGTTTAATAATCAGAAAAAGTCAACGAAATTTCATGAGGACGCGTAAGCATGTTCAATTTTTAAAAACTGTGTAGATTATATATTTTTTTCGCATCCAATGGCTTGTAACTGCTGAGCTCGTGTTCGGCGAGGAGTGATTACGCAATGAATGGCGTTCATCCGTTTGCTAGGTGACGAGACTTTCACGCTTGGCCGTGCACTACTCGTACCCCCCACCATTAGTATGTGACGTCACTTCGGTAGACTAAATATGTGATCGTTAAGTTCCGGATTCCCAAAATTTGCTAGCCTATTTGCGAAACACGTATCTGACAAAAGAAGGATGTTCTTGTTTGGCAGTCTCTAAAAATAAGCCCTGGTTTCTGATTTAACCACCAAACTTTCGTAGGTTTGCTTGCCAGCGAAAAGATAAATGTCCGTAACCTTGTGCGGTAGCCGCACGTTGTCATGTAAATATCCCGTGTACTTATCAATACGTACCTAATCAGGCAAGCAGTTATGTGGCTCTGTTTAGTTTTTGTTTCCGAACGGAAGTGGGTAAAATATCTATTATATAGAGCATTTATTTTGAACGTGGGACAAAAACATCACGAGTTCTGCGAACTCTAATTAAAACAACAGATCCGACTTCAATATACACCCAAAAGGCTCCAACGGGTCACGTTTTATGTAGCATTTCTGTGTAAAGTTATTCCACAAGGGTTGATGGCGTCAGAGTAGATATTCTGATTCTTCATCAGTAAGGAGGTGATTTTCTAACTACGTTAGCATCTCGTTAGATAAAACTAAACGTATCGTATGTTTTTTCTAAGGTAAGCAATTTGCGCATCCAAGTCTACTCTAATTTTCGAAACTTGCGCACATCTGAAATTCAAAAACACCTATAAAATTGACATTGTTTTGCCTGAGGCAATTATGTCAAGCTGGAATGCCCACAATTCTCTCAAATATTGTTTTTTTCCCGCGTGATATTCTTTCCGGCTGCCGCCTTAATGCGCAAAGTGACTCTCTGTGTGCAGCGCCATCTTAAGGGCGCCAATGAACTTACTTTTGTTGTGGGAACTGAGCATGACTAAACTCAACCTATTTAACCAGAAATTGTGGATGGACATCAGTATAAAGTAAAAATGACTCTCCTGGAAAGCAAAATCTTGTTTTTAGGTACAGCTGTGCAGCTGGTGCAACGCTGTGGTGGATGAAACCCATATTTAAGAAAAGTTACTAAGCGATAATTATTTTACGACTGCAAAGCCTTAACGATGACAGCATTGAGGAAGACGCAATATTAACCAAACCAAATTGATTTGCAAATGAGTGTATTTGTCGAAAGCAGTCCAATCTGAGTTCAAGTAGAACATAGGGTTGATGGAAACTCGGGGACTGCGCCTACCTGCTGAGACCCAACAAGAGCGAAACCGGTGGTGGGCTGTCGAAGAGTTTCAGCAACCTTGTGAGTAGTTTCCTTTATGAAAAAGAAGCAATATTTTTTAGACGGGACGTAACCGAAGTATCCGTGAAAACGGCCTTATTGTGAAACCATGTTGTTACTCTGTCATTACGCTATCTCAAGATTCTTCCATATGATCAGAATGTTGGAATTCAGTAGTTTATCAAACCCATCGTGTGTTATTTGAGGTAGAACAAATTTTGATGTCGCAATATCGAATTTACTTGTGAAGGTTAGTTCAAAAAATGTAGAGATCAAATAGTCGACAACTACATTTTCATATCTCAACAGACTAGAACAGCTGATTGAAAACAAACAATCTAGTTTATAAATGCAGAATAGTGTTGACGAAGTTCTGATGTTTTGACAACTAGCGGTGCCAGAGGCTAGTATATCATTCCATTAAAAGCATGGAAGCATTACTTGTGAGAACTGTTGCTTTTACACCGACCAAAGACTCCTGTTGATGTCAGAGAACTAAGCACTTTTTTATCATCCCGTTCCGTTATCGCGCGGTATAACTATCTGAATGAACTATATTTTGAGGTTTTTTAAAACGTAGTTCTGACTGGTTTCTGTCCTCTTCGTTGAGTTTGGTAATTCGGTTACAAACGCTTGCTATCTAGGGGAATGTTGTAAGATCTTTTGTACTCTGTTAACTGAGCTCAAGCTGTGTCGGTCGGATGTCTGTATGGTCAAATCATGGATTGTTGTTTGATGACGCATCAAGAGCTACTACTCGCGGATGCCTTTTGTATCCTGTAGGCTATGAAGTCAGCGCTTCATGAGTTGGTTCCAAGCAAGCAGTCACATGGTGCTTCTAGCCACGTGTTCAAACACCACCAAACACATGTCCGACATCGAGTATTAGCTGTGACTTAATAACAGAAACGCTATGCTTAGAGACACTCAGTCCATCACCCAAGCCATAAAGGCACCGTAATAAGACAAGGTCTGACGAGCGAAACCAGGTACTCTAGCCTCAGGGCCCGTTCACGCATTCCAATGATGTTTATCAAAACTATGTGTAAACAGATTGAGCGAATATGAACTCTCCTGTCTTTATTCATGGTCTTTCATAAAGTTGGTCAGAGAATAGTGTGCGATCAGCTCGAGTGTTCGAGTCAAAGTACCGGATTGTAAACTGAAATCTGACCAACTCACAGTATCTCTGTAGACAATGAACAGCATTTTACTCTACATCTACATACTCGGCTGTCTTTCACAAGTTTTAGAATCCAAAGAATCCGGAGCTCGCCTGTCAAAGACAGAGTTTGATGCGTGTGTGAAAAAATGTGGTGACCAATTTGAAGAATGCACTAAAGAAATGCATCAATTTTGGAGAAATTTCTCCAAGAATAAGTTGATTATCATGCGAAAGATGAGTCGATGTTGCCTTGATGGAGAACGAAATCCTCAAGCACCAGCAACGATGAGTTTCGCCACGTGTGTGAGAGACAACTGTCGAGCAGGAATGTGGGGGTAGGTCATATGCGACAAGTCCATATTGCTGGCTTAAATCTGTGAGCACTTATACATGGGATGTATAGTTTAGGGCTGTAACTTGATTTTCACCTATTATTTATGCAGTAGATTCGATTTTGTCCTGTGAGTGTTTTGAGAGTTCTGCCGTTTGATGTAGAGTAGTGTCTACAAACGCCATGGTTTGTATTACTCCCTGACTATTGTTGTGTTATCTTTATGGAAAAAGTACCAATGACGACCTTGAAAATATTCATATTAAGTTGCAACCTACTCTTTCACAAACAACACACGACTGTAATGGAGCCAAGATATTTACTCACGATAGGTTAATTTACAATAACAATTTGTGTGTATCAAGGACAAAATGTTTCCCTCATCATGGCGTTTAGCGGGATACATCGATTTTTGCAAAGCGTTTCAATAAGTATTGAAGTATCTTTACGGTTTCCGTGATCCTATGGTGTTCTACTCTGGTTCAATGCCACACAGATTATCAGGAACGTGAGTCTCATCATTCGGGAATGAGCCATTTGAATCACCTAACGTAAATTTTATTTAAAGACCGACCTCAACAGGGTACTGTATAACAGCTATCCAGTCGGACACTATCGAGGACTCCAATATTTTAATTTTATTCAGTAACTCTGGAATTGAAGATTGCTAAAACAGCTCGCTGGTAGAGCTAACTTTTTAGTATTTATTCACAATCAAGTAGCCAGTAAAAGATGCTGACTTTTGAGGAATGACGCTCCAGGAACGACAAGTAGATTCAGTGCTTACTGAGAATAGACAAAAACGTAAATCGTTTGGCGAGAGGTATCGGACAATGATGCAGTCGTGCCGGTAAGACCTCCAAACTTTTCGCCCAAAACGTATCACAGGTTAGTTCCTAATAATTGTGGGCGATGGTAACCAATGTGTGACACTTTTCACTCCGCCCACAAGTGCAGACCTATTTCGCTTCACTCAACCGTTTGCTCGAATGAGTTTTCAAGAAGAACTTAAAATCAAACGAAGTATTTTACTGGGACACTGTCAGGAGAAAAAGTACGGCTGAATCTAGACAGATGCTAATTCTGTCTGGACAGTGTTAAACTTGGTTTGGGTTAAAAAGCTGACTCGGGTTGTTTGACTTGAACACATCAACGGCATGATGATGTCCCACTTGATTGGATTCATCAGAAATTTACTGAATAGATACTTTCATTGGCTCGCAGCTTATGATACCCCATCGACGATGTGATAATCAGTCCTGATGGGGGGCATGCGATAAAATGAAAGGTTTCATATTATGTAATAATAGTCCCGAAGGGGGGCATGCGATAAAATGAAAGGTTTCATATTTATCCGTCAGAATGCCCCATAAAACATGAAAAAACGTCGGTATTCCGTCATGCATGGAATATTAGACTACTAGAAATGGCCAAAAATTCCATACTGCTCCATGAGTAGGAAGTTGCGGCGCTATGAAAAACGATTTGACTTGCATAAACTGTTTTGCGTGTCCAGGACGGATATTGCTGAATCAGTTGCACCGGTCATTGGAAGGCGCGAGTTTAGGCAACAGGGGTGGTACTGGAAGAGCTGGTGGTCTATTTGTGGAAGTTAATCTCCTATATCATGACAAAGACCAGCTTAATGTAACTGAGTAGCACGACTGCTATTCCAGGTTCGCCCAGGTCACACATTTTGCATTTACCTGTAAACTGATAAACGATATTAGCAAAATACACTCATTTGCGAGCATATTTGATTTTGCGAGAGACTCACCTGAAACCCAGCTGAATCTCTCGTTTGTGGGTTCCAGGTGAGTCTCTCGCCAAACCAACTTTGTTTGCAAATGACTGTATTTCGATAATTTGTTGCAATTTGGTTTCATGTAAAACAGGGTTGACGGAAACTCGGGACCTGCGCCTACCTGATTAGCCCCAAGAAGGGCGAAACCGGTCGTTGGCTGTCAAAGATTTTCGGTAACCTCATGAATAGTGCAGTACGAATATACATGGTAAACGATATGTTAGTTGGCATACACGGATGGGCCGTTTTGGACTGAGGATACTAGTATCCCCATATGTCTAGCCGATGACGCAATTTCTACATATTTGGTTTATTTTTAATGCACATGCCAAGTCTTGATACGAAACTGCAATTGCATTTTTTACTATAATTTTGCGTGTCGTTAGGCATCAGAAACATTTAAGTCAGAAAAAATGGATTTGGTTTACAAATGAAGATACTCGAGATAATCCCGGAATGTAGCCAATTTTTCGATAAACTGGGTATTGGAAAATTTGCAAATTGTGTCATTTAGCATACTATCGAACCGAATGAATCTTGAGATTTAATCACCGTCTCCCTTATTCACCATACTGCAACTGATAGAAGATAATCACGGATGTAAAACATGTAGGTCACGTCAATAGAGCAAAAACAACATTGAACGAATATTGGTTTTCACTGATTTCTGCAATCCATCGATGAATTCCAGGGTACCAAAACGTTTGCTGGAAATATTTTGGTACATATAGTTTGAGCCGATTTTGTTCTATGGCTGAGAAATTGGAGTTTCTACGGCGCAATAGACTGAGTCGTTCCGTTTGACAGATGTCTGGCTACTGACGGTACAAGGTTTCGAGTTGACCTCTGACTCAATGGTCCTCCTAAGCGTATTTGCATTAGATACATTTAAGCGTGTTCTAAAGAAAGTAGAAAAAGCGATCACCTATTACAACTTGTGTCTTCTCTCAGTTCTAGTGAAATAAAGCTGTTAGAGTTGGAATGTTACAGATCGTAGTGCATTTTAAACAGCTCCAATACGTGTGTTCTTGTGCTTGTAAGGAGAAATATCATAAACGCAGATCCAACTGTGGCTGGCTTAAAATTTCGAAGAAGGTTTTCTGAAAAAAGCGTTTATAGGTATTTTCTTAAAAACACTATGAGATTGTCGAAAATGCACAGACAGACTCATCGCGGAATTCTCTTCTCCCGTCTCATTGGATGAGTGCAGTTTCTGAGCTTCCGTAAAGCCTACATTCTGCCTGAACCACAATTGTATGTAAATCGTAAAACACACTAATTTGTAGACTATATGGTTTTAACGGGAAACCTAACTGGTAATGCACCCAACTGCGCACCGATGATGTCTCCTCGTATGGTGACAAAGCGTTTGCAAGCCAATTGCCAAGCTCCGGAAACCTAACTGTATGGCACATATTACATTACCCAATACCTGCCAGATGACGTGATATTCGACAAGAAACAATACGTTCGCTTAATGGGACACTAATGAAATCCGCGCGAATCTGTAAATTTAATAGGTTACCAAGTATTTTTTTTAAATTAAACCGCGGCATTTTCTTTTGTTCGATTCAATAATTGACGAAGTACTTGCTGATACAACTTTGCAAATCTGTGCAAACGCAATCGAACCCGAATGCCGTCACTATCTTGAGGCAGAAGTAGCCGGTATGTCGAGGCCAAATTTCTTTTGGATACACTGAGTTAAATGCCAGCACGGAGCAAGTTGGTTTCGCAGAAATTTAGATATCCACAGAAAAACAAAGTATATTGCATTCTTGACAACCAATCCTCATTTTCAAAGCACAAGAGCGAACACTTAAATTTAGCCGAACGTCTTTCCGTTAGGCGTCGACCAGATGACCTTATCGTAACAATTTCCATCCTTCTGTTTTACCGACAACTTGATGAAACTACTGAATGGAATGCATCTACTTCTTTGAAGAACCTTTTTGCCAACAAATTTTTATTGGAGCTACCGATGCGATATTTTCACTTCTTCTTTGCCTGATCTACTGACTTACCTGACTTGCAATTGAATACACTTGTGTGTCTAAAAAAACCTCCATGCCTTTGATATATATTGCTTGTACTAGTACCAGGAATTGGGTCGCATTAGTAGTTAAAATAGAATCTAACCCTCTGGACCGTTAAGGCCAACAGACCACAGACGTCTTCAACCAGATTGGAATGATCTGGGTTAGGCAGAGATATATATTCATTCAAAAAACGATTCACCAAAAGACGACATCGTTTATGTCATTAGGAAACTATCCACTGTTTCAACATAGGGTCTCTACAATTCTACGTTTTACAGCCGAACCAATCCAAATTGGGCCTTTGAGCACAAAGATCTTTGTAGTGTTTGGAGACTGATGTCATTAAAAAGCTTCTGTCTCTTCCCCTAAAAAAGTAGCTCTAAAAACACTCAGGACAGGAGCAGGTAGCTGACTGCAAGACGCTTTAATGGATTTAACGCAAGTAGCCGGAAGGTTAATTCAGAATACTATTCACTCGAGCCACCCCTCTAACGGACCTCACAGATGATCGCGCCCTCAAAAATTTCAATCATCCGTGTCCCCAAACAGCTGATGAATAATGCAATGGTCATAGATGCCAACTTATGGAGTGCGTAATAAATACGAAACACCCCGTCCCAAGAGACCAGCTATTCTGGAGACCAGGATCTAAGTGAATGTGATCTTCGAGTGTTCAGTCTTTGTTTTCGCAGAGTAGGTACAGCCTAATGCATTTCACGTAGTTTTGTTGGTCTTAACGCATCTAGCCCCAATTCAACCTGTTACTGGGGCCTCATTTAACCTTAACCTCCGTTTTGACTAATGTTTACGCTATGTTATTGTGTAAA